GCCCGAGTTCCTTTTCTTGTCTTTCTGCGAATGTGGGCGCATATGTGTGTGGGGGGGAGGGGTTTGTATGTGTGTGTGTGGGGGGGGGGGGTGTGAGTAGGAGGGGTGAGTGTGTATGTGTGTGTTGTTTGTTTATATAATGAGGTAATGTAAACAATAATAACAATAACAAAAACAATAATAAAACAATAATAATAAAATACTAATAACAGCAACAACAATATGGTAATAATAATAATAATAATAATAATAATAATAATAATAATAATAATAATAATAATAATAATAACAATAATAATAATAATAATAATAATAATAATAATAATAATAATAATAATAATAATAATAATGATGATAATAATGCCCATTACCACATAGATGACGAAAGGAAGATTCATGTGAAGTAACCTTTCCAAGGATCCAACGTCGGACCCCTAACGGAATTTAAACTCACGGCCATTCAGTCTAGAGCCCAAGAGGATCCTGAAATGAAAAAACAAAACAACGAAACTGATTACACGAAAACGCTGCGACAACACTGATAGCACCAGAGACAAGAAGACAGCTTTAAATTAGGACAGGTATTGGAGAAAAAAAAAAAAACGCACTGTTACCCGTTTTTTATGAATGTGTTTTTATGCCCTCATCCACACAATTTAGATCATTGAGGCAGCAGGCTGTGTGTGAGCCAAACTGTGCTGAAAGTGATACAAAGTCCCAACAGAAAGACCTTGATAATTTATCAAAATCTCTCTCCCCTCAAGGGGAATCGAACTCAGACCTTCTGCTTACGACGGCAGAGTGCAAAACGGTGACACTAAAGAGGCCACTTGGGTGTTCAAACCAAAGCAACGTAAACACTATTTCAGTATTTTGTGGTCAAAGTACAAAAGGCAAATGGAGTCATATATCAACTATCACCCGTCATCTCCAATCAAAACCTTTCAATTGAGACAAACAATCAACTCAACATGTTAATCATTATACCAACTCTTTGCTATCACTGCCAAACATGGACCACACAGGGGATTCTCGTGACTAAGAGATTGAGGTATTTGCCTCTCTTTCAATAGGTCATGAGTTCGAACCAGGAGAACGACGAAAAGTTTTCTTTCTAAATTGTCTCCTTTCACATGCTTTCCTGTTCTCTTGCAATGTTCTGTTGTGTGCTTTCGCATCCACTGTCTGCCCCCACCCATCCACCTACATTGCCCCCTCCTCTGAGCTCCTGACTCTTTCTGCAGCCTTTCTACTGCTACTCCTTGGCTCCTTCTTACAGCTGTCTTTCAGCCACACCCCTGATCTTATGGTAGGAAAGATCTACACCTAGCCTTCTCGGACAAGGGTAAAAAACCGAGGAGGTCGTAAGTGCAAATTGCACACGTTAAAGATCATTTGGTGGTTCAAAATCGATAAGAGTAGGCTTCGGCGGCCATCCGGAAAAAAATCAAAATTTCTTACAACAACCGAAAAATGTTTAATGTGTCTTGTGCGCTCATATAACCTCCTGCAGTTGTGAGCACCGTAAAAGACTTATAAAAAACCCAGGAACATTGTCATAATTTAACTATTATTATTCACTTACTTATTTTTAATGAAAAAATTTCACAGTTAAAGGTTCAAAATGCTACTTCGATTCATTAAAGTGAAGTTTGAAAACAAACAATAGGCTATGCTGGTTAAAACCTCCTGAAGGAATCATTGACAGAAGAAGAATCACATATTCAAAGAGCAAAATACGTGACATGATACTAAAAAAAACCAATGCCCTTTCTGGAATCAGAGACCCTAAATTAGCTTGGAACAAGTTTTAAACCTTATACCACAAAAAAACGTGTTGGCCAGTGTAAGTGGTCAAATCAATGTAGGATGAAAACGATTGGGACAAAAAAAGGACAACGAAATTTAATCATGAACATTATGGGACAAAGACAGGCTCTCCTAACGGAGCACCATGGAGTTAGGCTGGTAATATTTTGCGCCGGATGTGCCCTGACCTTGAACTAATCGCTTTAAAGCTCGTTATATATTTTTTAAACTGGAAATACATGACCCTTCTCACAAGCAAAAAATTAGGAAAATGTAAAGGGGCAAAATATGTTTTTTAACGGTACTGTTGGGCACTAAAATTAAATCTCCCCTGGCGCCGCTTTGCCGACTCTAGGTTCTTTGATCTTTCTCCTATCTGGGCCAGCCCCTAGATTTTTCTTAAACAAAAAAAACATCGATTACCTGTAGCGGGGAAATGATTGCATAAGGGCGCGCGTTGGTGTTTTTGAACAATAGCCTGGCGAGTAGCGCTGAACCGTGAAGCAACTCTTCCCCCTCTCTCTCTCTCTCTCTCTCTCTCTCTCTCTCTCTCTCTCTCTCTCTCTCTCTCTCTCTCTCTCTCTCTCTCTCACTCTTTCTCTCTCTCTCCCTCCCTCCCCCCTTCTCTCTCTCTCCCTCCCTCCCCCCTTCTCTCTCTCTCTTTCTCTCTCTCTGTCTCTCTCTCTCTTTCTCTCTCTCTGTCTCTCTCTCCCTCTTTCTCTCTCTCTCTCCCCCCCCTCTCTCTCTCTCTCTCTCTCTCTCTCTCTCTCTCTCTCTCTCTCTCTTTCTGCCTCTCACATGCCTTCTCTAACTTTTATTATTTTGTTTTACGTCCGTAGAGAAAGAAAACATGACGTAATTTACTTTCGCCTTGGGTTAACACCCGGAGTGGGAGGCAGGAACTTTCTTCGGATTTTTAAATGAACTGTACTGGGGAAAAAATGTTATTATTTTTAAAAAAACAAGACCAAGAAACATCAAAGGAGTACCGCCCCACACCAACCAAATTTGTGATAGTATTTTTTTCTTTGTTGTTAACGTTTCTCTTTTAGCGAAACAGAAAAGTACCAAATGATGTACTACCAGGCTGTTTCGAGGTTGTTGTTGTTGTTTTGTAGTTTGTTTTGTTTTTGTTTTGTTTTTTTTGGGGGGGGGGGTTTGTTTGGGGGTTTTTGTGGATTTTTTAAAAATTTGTGTTTTTCTTTTTCATTATTTTTTTTCTGATGTCTCTAAACTTTTTTTTTAAACTCTTACAAATCAGATACGGTACTTCACTTGTGCCCCCTACGACCAAGCAGAAATAGAATTGTACTTTTGACAGTTTGTGGGCTATTTTAGCTACAATCTCAGCCTGGCAGAGTCCAATCTTCACAAGCAACTCTCAAGTAACGTGTATCGTGTATCATCAAGCCTTGCGTGTTTCAACAGAAGAAATAGACAGGAGAAGGCACATGTTTGTCGATTGCACGATCAGACAGAGACATCGCCAGTGAACTGTTTGCCTGTGTTTATCACACATACACACACACACACACACACACACACACACACACACACACACACACACACACACACACAAACACACAGCAATTAGCAAACACACTGTACATAGCGACACTAAGATATCCAATGTTAAAACTACGATCATTCTTGGGTGACAAATTATAAATGTGGTGGGACTTTTCATAAAGATAGATCTAAATTCATGTAAAAACAAAGAAAAGAAAGAGAAAAAAAACTATTCGTTATGAGGTAGAGGGGAAAAAATGCCAACTTTTTGCCTATTGAAGAGTGTGACTTGAGCACTAATTGAAGCACCAAAACTGTGTTTTTATAACAGGCAAATGTGTCCGTGCTGTTCCACAATTTTATCAACTTGAAATATTTTGGCTTCTCTGCTTTCGAGCAAAAGGAGCTCATGTTTAAGCTGAGACGGTGCAACTGGTATGCTCTCTTTATTGAGCCAATCTTTTATCTCCCCTTTCCTGCTTGCACTTGTTGGAGTTTTGTCCTCTTCTTCCACTACGTTGTGATATGACGCATTATCCATCACTAAACAAGATGGTTTGTCCAGTGTAGGTAAAAAATTTCAATAATCCAATTTCGAAATATTTGCCTTTCATTGTGTTCGTCCTTTGACTACCATTCTTTTTGAAAAACATGGTGAGTGTTTATAAAAGTTTCGTCTAAGAAGGAAAGCTCATCCTTTCTCACGCACGTATTTCAACTCTCTCAAGTTCTTACTTCTTAAACTTAAAGCAACAATATGATTCCTTTCGCACAGTAAATTTCCCCCACCATATGATTTCCTGAACGTAAACCCAACACGTCTCACTGTTTTCCAAAGGCATGTCTTCGATATATTTATATCATGATTATCGGACAACCATCTTTTCAACTTTTTTAGAGTAACAAATTCATTTCTTTCAAACATCTGGACAAATGCTCATCAGACAACCTCCCTATTGAAACTCAGTCTTCAAAGGCCGCCCTCTTTTAGCTAGGAAAGTCTCTTCACCCATATCGTGCCGTTTTATCCATCTTGACAATGTGCTTCTGTTCAAACCTAAGGCATGTCTAGTTCTTTCTTTCGGATTCCCTCTATCATGGTACAAAGCTCCTCTCTTTGCCTCTCTATTAAAATGGGAGTAGAGCTGAAGCGCAACCTTTCGAAGAATGGTAAAAGTGTGTTTGAATGACTTCTTGTCCCTCATGGTGCAAACAAATCGTTGACTCAAAGCGAATTCAAGCACATAACAAAAAAGGGAACGTCCAGTTATTAAAGTTATGTTGTGTAATGATTCTAAATTCCAAAGCCAGACTACGCCTCTGACTTGCTTGAGTTGCTGTGGTGAAAGAAAGGCAGTCATTAAAAAATCCTGATTAATAATTTAGAGCATAGCCCCACGTGCGCTAATGTATTTGAGTAAACAATCCCGAGATTTGAGCGGTGAGCAGCCGAGGTTATCGGTGAGTTTTCACTCCGCTCCACGTGTCCACGTGCTGTGACGTCCAGTCGGCGGATTGGTGGCTCAGACCTAAGGGCTGTGCATCTTGAGTAGATTAAAATATATCGAAAACTGTCGAATGTAAACAAATGAATTGAACTATTTTTCCCAATGTTTTATCGGACGAAAGAGCTTGTCCGTGGTCTTTACGGCTTATGTGAATATTCTTTTACTGTTGGGATT